GCCTGGGTTATTAGCACGGGAGCTTGCTCCCGCCTACTCCGTGTTGGCATTTATCTGTTCTCTCCCACCCTCTTTCTGGTTTGCCATGTTATGCCAATTTGAAGTTGAGCAGTAGTGCTACTGCTCTCACGCACCCTCTTCACCGACCCCTGCCATCTATTGTTGGGTGGTACATGCACTGCAGCAGAATCCCTGATTCACCTCTTCTCGACCGTGCATATATTACCAACAGCTTGCCCCCTCTTCCCCATCTGGAGTATCTGGCGAGAAAAAGGTTCATACTCTTGAACTGGCAAATATTATTCTCCTACCTCACTGACGAGGACCGGGGCTGCCGGCACGTCTACACTTTCAATTCGATCTTTACGAAGCTCATGAATTGCATTTCCTCGACAACTTTTCTCGACCAGTCAGGATAGCCCAATCAGATACGACTACTCACTATGGCCGACGGTCTCTCTCAGCATCAGCTGAATCTCATCAGCGACATCGAACGAGTCTGTTCGGTGATTTCTCTGCTAGGATGTATCTTCGTCGTGGTTACATTCTGTTGCTCGAGCTCGTTCCACAAACCCATCAACAGACTGGTGTTTTATGCCTCGTTTGGTAATATGATGACCAATGTAGGCACGCTCATGTCTCGTAGCTATCTCAGTTCACCAAACTCTCCGGGTTGTCAATTCCAAGGATTCCTCATTCAAATGTATGCTTCTGCCACAGATATATATGAGCTTTGTTTTTTTAAATATTGTGGCCCAGCTAACAACGCTTAGGTTCATGCCTGCAGATGCATACTGGACGCTTGCCATGGCGTTCAACGTCTATCTGACATTTTATCACAAATACGACGCTAGGAAGCTGCGAAGAATGGAGGTACCCTATTTGCTTTGCTGCTATGGTATTCCTTTTATTCCTGCCCTCGTGTACATCTTCCTTAAGAACAAGGACGGATATCGAGCATATGGCAATGCCACTATTTGGTGCTGGATCACAACTGAGTGGGATATTTTCCGTATTGCTACATTCTATGGCCCCGTCTGGTAAGTTTTTTTTTACAAGATGAAAGTCGGTGAAAATCGGAGAAATTTCTCTGAGCAAGGAAAAGAAGTACATGGAGCCTCCTTACTAACTTCAGTTCAGGGTCGTTATCTTTGCCACTTTCTTCATCTATATTCGAGCTGGGCGAACAATCTACGAAAAGCATAAGCAACTCAACGACTTTCACTCATCTGAAGGCCTCTCTTCCATCGACGTCATCACTACCCTCAGGACAACTGAAGTGACCGTCACTACTTCAGAAGCCATGCCAAATTCCGGAAACCTCAACGCGAATGGCCCCTCAGGCCACCGGCCGTCTCTTACCGAGCCCGACTCAGGCAACCCCAACTACTCGGTACACATCTCGGCTAGTAAGGCTGCCGCAGATGATAAGATTGAGCCTGTTCCAGCTCCCGAAATCGAAGCCGCCAAGAGATCTAGACTCCGAGCAAACCGCCCGCCGAACGCTCGACGACGAAATTATGAAATCAACAACGCAGCATGGGCTTACGCCAAGTGTTCCCTGCTCTTCTTCACGGCTCTCCTCATCACATGGATCCCATCGAGTGCCAATCGAGTCTACTCTGTGGTGAAATCGCAGGAAATCAACGCTCCACTTGAAATCATGAGTGCCTTTGTGCTTCCGCTCCAGGGATTCTGGAACGCTCTCATCTACACCGTAACATCATGGGGTGCCTGCAAGAGCTTCCTTGAGGATATGAGATCTGGCAAGCGGCCAGAGGTGATGGAGTTGGTTGGAGGAATGGGTGCGCAAGACGAAAACAGCCGTCACAGCCGGCGTGTAAGCCAGTTTAGGCCAGCACGCGCGAACAAGGGTCTCGACTCGGAGAGCATGACGGAGCTGGCCAACACCAGGACACATTCAGCAGATGCTCACTCGGCGGAGACCAGCTCACAGTATGGACGCTCAAGCACTGGATAGGAAAAAAAAAGGATGAAGGCGGGAACTGTGTGTTGCTACTACTTCCAGTATATTATTTAATCGTCCACCCGAGTGTGTTTGATGCTCTCTGCTGGACCCATTTTTCTTCACTTCTTCGCAATCTTCATTGGTTTTCATTTCTTGCATTCTCTTTTGTTCCCTTTTTATTTTTATTTTTCTCTTTGTTCTGTATGTTTACGACGGCAAGGATGACGAGCTCTGGGTTATGCAGGGATTGGCGATTTGCCACTTTGGGAATTTGACAAAAGGCGGGAAAGATAGATACCCAGGACTTTTACTATGACTACTATCAAGATATCATCGACGCTGAACTGCGCTGCATTCGCTAATGATTATTATTATTTCCCCTCCCTATTTCTACATGACGACTAATACTACTCTCTCCAACTGTGAATCGTGCCTGTCCAACTGTGCAAGGGTTAAAAAGGAGATTTGCTCTTACTACTGATTAGCAATGCTAAATGCCAATACATTCGGCACCATATCCCGACGATATAGTCAACAAGATACCAGAAAACCCGGCGATCCCCTCGACCAAATTTCTTTTCCTGGCCCAGCAAACGCTACCACCTCCGTAATCCAATCGAGATCCAGGCCCTCTCCCCCTCCTCAGTCTCCAAGGGTCAACCACGCGTGGCACACAACACGGGTAGGATTTAACAGGATTCAGGAACCAGGGTCTCCCCCTCAATCTCAATCTCCGCCGCAACGGCTCAACGCTTGGGGTAGCCGACCAAGCCGACCTTGTGAGAGAAGTGAACGGATTAGTATTATTGCTTTGAGAAGGTGAAAAGAGCGCGTGCATTGCAGATAAGTCTCGTATGCAGCTACTGCTCTGTATAGCAGCTAGCTGGCTCATATCAGACCATTGACTTCTTGTCTGACCTATGAAAGGCTGCGAGCCTCATTCATCAGCTTTCATCAGCTTTGAATCAGCAGCTTGGGCCAACAGCAGCTGATGGAGATTCCCTGTCATATATTACGCCCCCCCGCGCCCCCAAAAAATCTTTTTTCATCTTCAACATCGGGGAGCAAACTCCTTTTGTTCCCCGATCAATCGGACAAATACGATGAGAAAATTTGACCTTGTTCCCGGGAACCACCAAATTCAGCCATCAGCCACCTAGATAACTTGTTTTCTGCAACTGTGCGCTCTTTTCTCATTAGCTCCCTGCATATCCTTCCCGTCCGCGCCGCGTCCAACAACAAGTTTGTAGATTCGTCATAGAAGCAAGGGTACGGTACAGGTCAAGAGCCCGGGGTGCTCATGAGCGTCAAGTTGCGCGCTCCGCTTTGCTAGGCGAAGCGTAGTGACGCAGGGAGACAAGAAGAGACAAAACTGTAAGCTCGGTGCTGATATAGGATTGCAATCCTAGGTGAGCTAGCCCGTATACTCTGGATACGTAAGTAGGGCTGAGGTGTGGTCTGTGATGATATGCTGGTAGCTTAATTTTCTTTGTTTTTTCTTTCCTCATCAGGTATCCGAGCAGTCGGGTGCTAGCTCTGGCGGATGCTAATGCTTACCAGGTCTCTCTTTTAGACATCAAGAATCCTTTTCTAGACGGGGCCCCTCGTCAGCACTTCTTTCTGCGTTGCCATGGGTAGCCTGTCCAACTATCCTGCCAAAATGGGAGAGTGCAGTGATTCGCAAATAAACAGCGTCAGGCCAACAGTCGGTCAAATAGCCCGTATCTTTTTGATGCCTCTAAACTGTTCCCGTCTACGGGAAACAGGATGACTTCCAACATCCGCAAGTAGGCATCCAACCCGCCGAGAAGCGCTGCAGTCGGTCAGCATTCGAAAGGAGCCTAGTCCGCGGGACGACGAAACGATGGCGCTGCTGGATGAACAATTTAGGCACAAATGCAATGATAAGACTGTAGAGGAATTCTTCCCTCATCCCTGCTAGGGCAAGAGATTGAGAAAAGGCCAACGAGAAAAAAAGTGGTCGTGGTAAAGATTCAACGGCTAGCGGCTCATAGACGGTCGAATTTGGAAAAGAGGCGCCCATCACAATGGGTTTTATTCTCCGAGAAAGCAATGGATTCAAAGGAAAACACGCACAAGCCACCGCTCCAAGGGTGCTCTCGTTTCTGTACCTGCGCTGGCCCGCGGACCTACTTCCCAATTCGAAACTGCTGCAGAATCGAAAGAACTGCAAGGAGACGGTTCGCAGCTTGAAGGGGATGCATGATGCATGCCTGTACAGTAGTATTGGTTGGTGATGGGTCATACCAGTACCTGTAAAGGCCTTGATTCGGGGCAGTAGTTGTTGGTCGACAGGTTGCAATTCTTGGCTGCATGGTGGCACAGCGCTGTTTCGTAATATACTGTAGCAATTGGTATGTACAGTATATACTGTACGCAAACGAAAACTCCTTCCCTTGTCGACGTAGCATCAAGGCCTCAGTTCATCGTCCAAACGGCCCCTGTTTACGGACATTGGATGTGCAGCCATCCTCGCTGATCGTCGATAGAAAGGGGCCCCTGCGTCTGTCCCACTCTTCGCATGTAACACCGGATCTATCGAGCAATGCAACCAAACAGGTTGCAGTACGGAGTACGGAGTGATACCTGTATATGGTGCTCGCGGAGTATTCTGGCCCGAACTGCGAACTGCTTGCCACAAGCTTTAAACGGCAAAACGGGTTGCTCGGGACATGGTTACGGTACCGTTTCTCTTGCTGCTCTCGATAAGCCCCAAATGGCCCCCCTAAACTTGGCGAATTCCACGCCGTAATATCCGTCCGTGGCAATACCAGCTGGGACAGGACGTGACTGTTCTTAGAGAAACGAAACGACTCAGTATCGAGAGCCATGAATTGCAGAAGAAAGAAAAAGAAAAGAAAAAAGACCAATCTCGGCCGAGTCAGGACTCCGGTCCGAAAACGCCTAATTCAGCGTTTGCCCAAAAAGGCAAATATATTTGCTCTCAAACTCTCCAGCACTTGACTCGTTGGTATTTGCAGGCAGCTTCTGGTCAACACTGGCTGAATATCTACGTCGCCTTCAGTTCCTTGACCCCTTTGACGGCATGATATTCCCATAGTGTACCCAGCTCGAGACACTCGGCGACGCATTCCGGGTCATCCCACCACCATTTGTTACAAGTCACATACGAACCCCATACCTCTACCCAAAGCATACGCCCAACCAGGCTTCTGACCTGAGCCTTGGCCTCCTTCTCCGTTTGCACTGAGTCTTTAGCTGCATCTTGGTCTCTGCTTATTGCGCTACCCGGCACGGCGTAAAATTTTGTCGTTGTTAGAGTGCTTCCATCCCCGCGGAGGTGAGCTTGGGCGAGTAGGTGTGGAAATGCCGTGCTGGGGCTCATGCATTTGCCTTGTTTTGCTAGGTTTCGAAGCAGATTCTCCTCTATCCACATTCTCATCCTTGCGCCCAAGGTAGCAGCTCGAGGTAGCGGATCAATAAGTATTAACCGAATGAAGCCTTTCTTATTCAAGCACTTGTAGACATTGTTGAGCATCCCGGGCAGCAGAGACAACGGACACAAAGAAGGCAGCGTCAGCGAATGAACTGATTCATAAATCCGAGGCGCTATTGGAAATTCTGTAGGCGCGATTCTAGGGACAGAAACTATCCGAACGTTGTTGAACAAATCTTCTTTCGGCGTCTCCATAAGCGATATGTGATCGTGTTGCTTCGTGGGTTCGAGTGCAGCGAGATAGGCAACGGTGGCTCAGACACATGTATGTTAGTATATTGCTGCTCAATATGAAGCAAAGCCAACATTTACCTGCTGAGTCGTAGAGACACACAACCATACGAGCTGTCAGGAGACACTCCTTACGAGGAGACACTCGATTTTCAAGGGCTGGGACTTTGTCCATGTGAATCATGGTCGAGAGCATCCATCTGCGCAGATCCTCTACCATAACACTGTCGCCTAAAAGATAGGCAACGTCTTTCTTCGCAACATTCTTCCATAGCGTCTCCAACGTAACTAGGATTTCCGCTGCACTCTTGGTTGCCATTCTAACAACTGCTGTGTGTAGTAAACGAAAATCATTGTGTATTCCGGGACTGTGGTCGAAAGAGTCAGCGTCAACAAGCAAGCTGGAAGAGGAAGGCTCAGGTGATCCGCGTAGAAGAGGGAGAGGCTCCCATTCATCTACCGGCTTCCAAGCCTCGGGACTATTTGGCGTGATTCGCGTTTTCGTGCTGGCGTTCGATGAGGCGAGCTGGGAGTCTATTTGTGAGACCTGCATGGCTGCTGGGCGAATCTTTGATCTGATCGTGGGCGATAGAGGTAGAGATGGAGATCTTTTATGTCAGGTCAGCTTCAACAAGGTTGTGGTGAGGAGTCTTGTCTGCGGAGAAGACGATTGAAGAATCAAAAGCAGAGAAAGGGAGGCTTTGAATGCAGGAGGGGAAAGAAAAGAAAGAAGGCGTAGAAGCGAAGAGAAGAATCTCGGCGCTGGAAAGTTGCTACTCACTTTTCTCCAGGTGCCAAACGGTCAGGAGCGACTGCGCTGCCCGCAGACGGCAGTGGGCAGTTGCCAACTGGCTCGATTGTCGATGGACTTCGCCGGAATATCTGCACCAGACTCCGCATCTTCTCGGACTCGGTCAAATCATCAGAGGTCGAGCCCCCAATCGAGAAGCGCTTGATAGCCGATGGCGAGGAGGGGATATCTGCTGAAGAGTCAGAGCCATCACCATCACCAGGGACTTTCAGCGCAAGCAAGTCGATCTTCCTCACCTTCGACCGCAGAGCTACAGAATAGCCTTCTGCATGCATCGCCACTCTTCTCGGGCAACAAGGGACTGGTGTTCAAGGGGCTTTCAAAGTTGGCAAGTCTCTCGAGGAAGCTGGTGGACATGCGGCTAGAGCTTCGACGACTCCCCTCGTCAAACGTTTTGGACATTGGCGAGCGATCAGAAGAGGCCATCGCCGGTGACGCAACTCCCGACGAGCCAGAAGATGCCATTTCCGCGTTGGAAGAAGACGCGTTTGCCTTCTTTGAGCCTCTAATACGAAAGATGGCAAACGGGGAGTCAGTTGACCAGCGCGAGCTGGCTGTGGATGCCGAACGGCGTCTCGGCTGACTTTTATCGTCGTTCTTGAACATGTCCTCTTTCTCTTTCCGTGCCTTGTGCTCGCCCACCAGTTCTCTATCGGGGTCAGTCCAGACGACATCCCACATGGTGGTGATGGCCCCCTGCAGGCAAGGAGAAGCACCTGATCTGTGTGGTCCAAACAGCAAATTCAGCACATGCAGACTTCACAAACGTACAGGTGAAGCCTCCTGTCTGGCTTTGCTATGATGCAGCGGCAGTAACGTAACCAAGAGAGCCTGGTGTCACAGCAGCAGATGATTGATGCAGAAAGTGGTGGAGGATGCCTGCCGCCAGACTGGCCAAGTTGTGGCTTGAATGCCACTGAGCGTTGGCTGGATTGACGTTCAACCGCAGCTGTGAATTTTGATTCCAGAGTTCCGATTGTGGTAGGGATTTGTGACAGAAATGGGAGAATGGCTGAGGACCTGCAACGCTTTGGGTTTTGAGTTGCGAAAGATGATGAATAAGAGGATGAAGCGAGCAGATATGGTACGATCGTCGTCAGCCAAAATCTGGCACTGCAAATCTCATGGCCACGGTGCAACAGCCAGCGAAGCGAGAGAGTACAAAAGCCTCACCCAGGAAGAAGGAATTTAACCAAGAAAGAGAAGAGAGAATTTGTTCATCAGCCACCAGCAAATTTGCAGCAGAAAAACGCCACTATGGAGGCACAAAGCGAACAGAGCCAAAGCTAAAGGGGCTAAATTTGATATCGGCAGGTGCTTCACCTGCTCTCAATTGCGATGTTGGGTACCATTTGAGTGAACAACAGGCCAGTAACAGGTTACGTGAGCACAGCAGATGCAAGATCCCGTGTTGTGGCGATCAGATGGCAAGCGAGGTTTGACAGGCCGTTTGCAAGTGTTTGCGGTCGTTTGCAGGGAAAACGAGTGCAGTCACGAGGAGCAACAGCAACGATCATCTCCACATAAATCCCACGATATATATGCCAACGACTACACACACACAGAGAGAGAGAGAGAGAGTTAGAGATACAGTTGCGTATATACAGGGAACGAGAGCGATGGCCATAGGAGTGAAAGAACAACGCGATATCCCCCTAGTAGCAACGTTTCTTGCTGCTTTGCAAAGCCATGGGCCCTTTGCTCCGTGCGACTTACATATGATACCACCAATTAAACCAGTGAGCTGAGCTGACACAAAGTTTTACCCAACTGCATTTTCCATTCGGCCTCTTTGGTTAGCAGGTGGATGTTGATATTTTTCGAATAAGATAAACCTCGTTTTGGAATTACCCAGCTATTTTTGTCTGGAGTGCGCATATGGGATATTCCTACCCAAACAAAGCAACGAGTTTATCAAGGGTGTCATGCTCATAAATCGATTTACAGTTACTGATTGATTCAGAGCCTCGATACTCCATTATCTGCTGACTGCTGTTCCAAATAACCACTCAGAGTACCAAGTATCCAACATCCGCCAACGTATCAGATTTACCACGCCATATGAACCAACTAGGGAAATGAGACATGAGCAACATCTTAGGACTATGCAGGTCTTGCCCCTTTGAAATCTTGTTGAATGTAAAAATGAAATTGAGCCCGCTGAAGGAATACTCCTTTTCCTTGTCATACAGAGAAGCCGGATAGTTGCCTACACGGAACTCATCTATTGGCCGACTTTTTAGCAGGCTGGGTTTTATAGATGCTGAAAGACAAACTTCTACGAATTCTAGGTATTCTCATTGCCCATATCTTTGACACGGCTGCTTTTATAAGATTATCAGGTCGGCTGGCTAATATATCCTGCAAGCAATCCCATCGTTCAGCTTCTCCTCCAGCCTCAAATGGCTGTGCGAGCACTACCACGCGCTATCACTTCCTGTGCAACGAGCTTTAACGACTCTCCCAACAGCTTCGACATTGCTCGTACAACATCAGCACTCTCGGCTACCAACAATGCCAGTCACAGATTGGCCACAGCGCCAGGAGCCGAGCGGGTACGCCCTCGCAGTCATTATGCACTCTATGGGCTTCCCTGTATCCCATTGGGACAGATGTATAAACGTGCGACAGTGTGGCGGAAGCCATCTAAGGCTGCAGCTCGGCAGATACTCAACAGCCAGGTGACGTTGATGCGGCAGATGGAGAGAATATATACAATCTGGGCTATACAATCGGGGCTCCCTTACCGTCGACTTTGGCTTCCGCTCCAGCTCGCACAAGCACGGACAGACTCGAAACACGAATAGGAATCTTCCAGGTAACGTCAGATATGTGAGCCCCCTGTCCGAGGTCTGGAGAGTACCTTGTGCTTCTCTGGGGACACCTGGTCCAGCTGGAGTAGCCCGTCTATCTCTAACCCAACGTGATGATTTCAGATTCCATGAGCTGTATGCTGCCGGCCGGCCTGCCAGCTGCCGCATAATCGGCCAACGCAAAACGGGCCGTACGGGTGTGCTGCCTCATGTATAGCAGTCGGTTGTCCTGGCAAAGAATCTGGAGACTGGCAGGCATATTCTTCAAAGTTCATGAACAATCGCCGCCTTCTTCTATCCCTTCCATCTCCATTCGCCCCCCCTACTACGATTCATTCTTTTTATTCCCCCCCCCCCCTACCTCCCCTACGTATTTCTGATTACTCAAGATAACTTTTTGCTTTCGTTTGTATTGGTTACGAGATATCGAAGCGGCGTGTTTTCAATCTCCATAAACCTGCCACCTCCAAGATCAGTGAATCTTATTTTTCTGTTATTTACTCATCATGGAATCCCCAACCACAACCATGCACCCTAAAAACAGCGAAGAACCCGGAACGCTTGATCCAAGGCTGTCTTCTCCAAGACTTCCTCCAGCTCCTCCGGTTGGCCGATCCAAATTCTGCGGTTTTCGAGACTTTGCCGACCTTGTTGATAAGTGGCTGAGCGGTTCCTGCTTAGGGCGACTGTTTCGTCTGGCCGACTCGGGACATGTAAGTACCATTGCATTTCTCTTTTGTTGAAGCAAAGACGAGAAATAGTCGTTGTTGTTGGTATCAAGGGCTAATGGTATGAATAGGCCAAAGCACTTGAAGGCACAACCTTTTTCAGAGAGATTCGCGCTGGGCTGACAACTTTTGCGACCATGGCATACATCATCGCTGTGAATGTATGCGGCCCGTGAAGAACTTTTCTTGCTAGAGACCTGGCTGACTATTGCAAAACTCTGTAGGCTTCTATCCTCTCTCAGACTGGCGGAACTTGCGACTGTGACCTGAAGAACAAATTTCAGTGCGATACTATCCCTGCCTATGCGGACTGTAAAGAAGGTATTGTTTCTAGCCAGCCTGCCCCAGTCTTTGATACGATCATCTTCTAAATCATGATAGAGGTACGAAGGGATTTGATTACAGCTACGGCAGCCATAGCTGGCCTCGCCTCTCTGTTTTTTGGATTGTTGACCAATCTACCCGTCGCCCTTGCGTAAGCCATCTACAGTCCCCGTCACGTACATGTACAAATACTAACATGAATTTCAGCCCAGGAATGGGCCTCAACGCCTATTTCGCCTACCAAGTACGTGAACATTCATCATCATATCTATTTCTCTGCTAATACCAAGTCCCAACTTCCAAGGTTGTTGGCAGCAACGGTTCTGGTTCCGTCTCCTACCGAACCGCCCTCACTGCCGTCTTCTTCGAAGGCATCATATTCATTTTCTTAGCTTTGACAGGGATGCGTCAATGGCTCGTCAGACTCATCCCAGCCACCATCAAAACCGCCACTGGAGTTGGAATTGGATTTCTTCTGACAGAAATTGGGCTCTCCTACTCGTCTGGCATTGGCGCCATCACAGGCGGCAGCACATCTACCCCTCTGGCTTTGGGTGGCTGCCCTCCTCATATGATCAATCCAGAGACGGGGGCATGTATTGCTGGTCAAATGACGAATCCATCGGTACGTTCAAGGTCGAATCAGAGACAAGAAAGATGCTGACATGCTATATGAATAGATGTGGCTCGCCGTCTTTTGCGGTGGTATCGTGACAGCCTTCCTAATGGCGTTTAGAGTCAAGTACGCTCTCGTCATCGGAATTGCGCTCGTCTCTGTCATCTCGTGGCCGTGAGTACCATCTTTAGATTTGAGTGAAAGGATATTCGCTAACGCTTTATTTCGCTGCCTGCAGCCGCAACACTCCAGTCACTTATTTCCCCGATACCCCAGAAGGCGACTCTCGATTTTCCTTTTTCAAACAAATCATTGCATGGCACCCTCTCTCCAAGACTGTCAACCAGCTTGACTGGAGCCTCGAGGGCACCAGCACCTCTCACTTTATTCTTGCTCTCTTTACTTTCCTCTATGTCGATATCATCGACGCTACTGCTACTTTATACTCCATGGTCCGTTTCTGTGGAGTCGTCAATCCCAAAGACGGGGATTTTCCGCGCTCAACAATCGCATACTGCACTGATGCGACCTTTATCTCGATCGGAGCTCTATTCGGATGCTCTCCCATCACCGCCTTCATCGAGAGTGGCGCGGGTATTGCGGAAGGTGGACGCACTGGTCTCACTGCCGTGGTGGCAGGGCTTTGCTTCATCGTATCAATCTTCTTTGCTCCTATATTTGCTTCTATCCCGCCCTGGGCTACGGGATGTACACTCATCTTGGTCGGCTGCATGATGATTCGCCAAGTCACGCAAGTTAATTGGCGCTACATTGGCGACGCTCTTCCTTCCTTCATTGTCATGACGTTTATACCGTTTAGCTATAGCGTCGCATATGGCCTCATTGCGTAAGTTTTCTCGCCTGCTCTGTCTCCCAGTATTAAACAACGTTTCATTATCCTCTGCCTTCACTTCATTCCAAAAGCTAATCATCGTTGCGCACACAAAAATTAGTGGCCTGTTTGTCTACACCATCCTCAACACCCTCATCGGCCTCGTGGTTTTCCTCTCCAATAACCGTATCGAGCCCCGGGAATACGATCTCAAAGAGTACTGGACTTGGAAGGGTTCTGGCCGTCCGCCCTGGTTTGTCCGGGCCATGAGGAGAGACAGAAGCCATAATTCACCTTCTTCGGCGGATGATCATGACGATTCCGTTCCTCCTGTCGCTGAGGAGAACGAAAGTCAGCGGGGCTTGAACCTCCAGCAAAGCCGCGATAATCCTCCCGGCAGGGATGGCTCTACAGCAATGGTGGAGCAATCTGTGTTGCCGATTGATCATGATGAAGCCTATGGTTATCATCATCACTCCTCTTCGATGAGGGGCATTGCTCGTTGATCATATCTAGTATATATGAGAGGGGGAGGGAGGGACAAGGGTGATTTGATTGTTCTTGATGCTTTTAAGGAATACGCAGTAACGTGGATACGATTGACTGAACAGTGTTGTCGAAAGATGGATATGGCATTGTTCATCTAGAACTGCTTGGCTGAGACTTTGTGGTTTGCGAAATTGTATGTATTCGCCAGGGGATTCTGTAGTATTCAAATGACACTTTCGACGCACCAATGCTCTCCTGTATCGGCTTCTTTGACATCTCCAGATTGGGTGACTTTGGGTAAACATCGTATATGCTTAAAATATGCCAGGGTATATATTGTCTATTTCTCTCCTTGTCCCAAAATCATCAAGCACTCTCAACACCCCTCACCCACTCATATCTACATCACCACTTCCCCTCCCGCCCATGGCCCTCTCCGCCGCTTTTTTTCTCTCCAGGCTGTCGCTCACCCACTTGTTCACTGCATCATCACCTCCCGCATCAAGTTTATTCTCCACCACCTTCTTCACCACCTCGCCCGCAAAGCCCACAAAGTTGTGCCTCCTCAGCGCATTCTCAAACAGCCAGTCTTTGCGCTTGCGCTCCTCCCGCTCCAGCAGCTCCTCGTCGCCAAACTCGCGCGCGCGGATCCGCAAGTCGCGGCACATAGCCAGCAGGTTGAAGCGGATCTCGGTCGCGTCGTAGCGGGCAATGCGGCGCTGCAGCACGTCCACCACTTTCAGGGGGAAATCTTCGGTGGCGCAGGGCCCGTGTGAGATGGGCGCGGGCTGCAGGCCGTCCAGCTCGTACAGCACGCCGTCGACGGGCGTGTAGGCAATGAAGTGGAAGACGTCCTCGGAGGGCTCGCCCGTGCGCTGCGTCTCGTCGGCAAAGGGACTGCTGCGCGCGAAGCTGTTGTGCACCTCGCGGATGAGGTCCGAGTTGCTGAGGGCCTCGCCGCGGAACTCGGGCGGCAGGACCATTGTGAAGTCGCGAAAGTCCTTCATCTGCGCGCCAATGTCGACCTCGTCGTCGGCCGTCTTGTTCATGAGCACGCTGAGCAGGGCCTGCGTCGCGCAGGCGTTCTGGATCGTCTGCGCGGCGAAGAAGATGCGCTCCGAGGCATCGTGGTCAAAGGTGCCGTCGAGCGGGCCGTCGGCCGTGGCGTAGGGCCGGTCGGTTGGGAACTTGAAAAGAAAGATGACGCCGTAGAGGGGCTGGAGGGTGAGCAGCTCGGACGGGTCGAGAGTGAGGAGTTCTTCGAACTGGACGTCTTTGACGCCGAGGTTCTCTAAAAGACTGGTAAAGACGCCCTAGTAGTTAATACAACATTAGCTGATGATTTCCTTCTACCTTTCGTCCTTTTTTTCTTCTTCTTCTTCTTCTTCTTCTTCTTCTTCTTCTTCTTCTTAGGCATTGGTAAAGGTGGTTTTGCAACGTACTGCGTCAGACTCAACTAGAAGAGAAAGAAGATGTTGGTTAGTACAAGAGAGAGAGAAGCTTCGCAATCTAGGAGAGAAGCTTACTTGTATTCCAACCACCGCTCATTGTGTCGCTCGATGTGCCGTCTAGGCGACAGCCCCCAATTGGAGAAAAGAGAATCGATGGGGAAATGGACAAAGATTGGCGAGTTTCCAAGTGGTAGCGATATGATGTCGTTGGAGAGAAGCTATACGTTGATGGTAAGCTTTGATGGTGGGATGCTCCCGGAGCTTTACGTACATACGTAAATGGCAAATCGCTGATAAGATAAGAGCGTTGAGCGCAGGCACACCACGCGAGTACGTACCTTGAGGTGGCGTCATTAATAAGGGACATCAACCTCGTACAGACAATTCAGTCACTAAAAGTATCCAAGTAAAAACAGATAGCTCAAGTTTTATTCGTAGAATGCCTCGCCCTGCCTTATTTACAGGCCCTCTCATCTTGTAATTCTTAAGCTACTTAGTACATGAAAATAGATCAGAGAAGAAAAAAAGACTCGAGCCTGCATGTCTTCTTTAATCTCTGCTAGAGAGGACTTCATAAGAAACATTGGTTTCAACGCCCTGCTCCTGATAGAATTCTTCAATCGCTAAATCCCACAATATGATAATCACTTTTTTGGTGCAGTACCCGTGTATGCCTTCTCCCTAGCCCGTATCGCTCATACACTCTCTACGCGGTAGAGATTTCTTCGCGGATGGCCCTGTCTCGTTCAGCATCCTCGTAGTCGTGGTGCACATCTTGTTCCCCAGATTGATGTTGGCCGTCACTTGTCTCATGCACGGTTTCATCTTCATCATACTCAGCAGCTACGACAGCTCTGGCATTGGCCATGGCATCAGCCATTGCTGCCTCTGCCGCTCTTGCCGCAATTTCGGCTTCTCTGCGCCGCGTTTCCTGTTCCCTTGCTTCTCTTTCTTGATTAGCAATATGGCGTTCCGCAACCCCAGGAGCAATACTGGCAAGGAAGAGGAGGCCCGCTCGCTCCAGTCGCCTCAATTGCCCCGTGAGCCACGATTCTTGATTGCGACGCTCAGCAAGCAGTCGGGCAGCCGTCTCAGCAGGGTCAGGCATCCTATTTCGCTCAGCTCTAGGGGCCCCATCATGGTTTGCATCCTGCCTGTGTCCATGATTCCCATGATCCATGGCAGGCAGCACAGTTTCGAGATACCGTCCTATCGGTCGCCAGATCTGCTCGGCATAGCCGGCCAAGAGCCCGGTGGTGAGGGCAAACATGAACAATGCCAAAGCAATAACAGTGCACCATCTTGACCAGCTAGAGTTGACAGGCGTAAAGAACCACACAAAAAGGGCTAGGCGTACTATAAGCCAGATGTGAGGAGCCAACTGCACAATCAGATGAGCTAGGCCAGCCGCAGGTGGGTTACCAGCATGTAAAGGGGCGATTCTTGGCTGTTGGCCCTGCGGCTGCGGAGGCTGCGGCTGTTGGACCTGTTGTTGTTGCTGCTGCTGCTGCTGAGGCTGAGGCTGTGGCGCTGGGTCCTGAGGGGTTTGAGCAGCCTGTCTTGCGTCTGCCCGCTGTGTCTGATGATGGTCATCCCTGGTTTGCGGCTGCATCGTGCGGATCAAGCTTGGAGAGTAGTAGGGAAGCGGCTGCATAGCCAGCCTGGGCGTGTAGTAAGCCTCTGCCACATTGCCGTTGAAGAGAAGGGCGCGGGGCCCCTCGGGGGATGACAGAATATACACATCGACACCCTGTCGTGACTGGGATGGAACAAGAGAAGGGGCAGACGTAGGGGCGGGAATGAATGAGCCAGAAACCGACCTCAGCCCTAGGTCTGGCGTAGCTCGGCCGCTGCCAGCTCGAGAGCCACCATTCGCAAAGACAGAGGTAGTGATGGAGGGTTGGTTGAACGCCCGGTTGTGAAGCGAGGCACTAGAGGCACTTCGGCGCAAGTTGCTTTGATGCAGTGCATTTGCCAGGGGTGCGGGTATCTGGTTGGAGTCTGCCCCTCGCAGAATGTTGTGAATATCATTAGGGGTAAATACACCAGGAATTGACGGCGCAGATGCAGATGCCCCTGGGAGTCCACCAGCTCCATTACGAGTCTCGACGTGGTAGCTGTGGCCGTTGGGTCCAATGACTTCTCGATAAATTGTGTGCGATGGGGCCGGACTCCCTCTCCCACTATTTGACTCTGGAGTTAATCCCCCGTAGTTGGCAGCCGCGGGGTCGCCAACACCGCGCATGCCCATATGAGCTCTCCCGCGCTGATTCTGTTGAACCATCCTGGCCATGGCTTCTCTCTGGATCTGTGTTAACCATTGCGTCATGCTTTGATGTTGCTGCTGGAAAGCTGCCGCCTGCTCGGGAGTATGAGCTGGGGATGGGGAATGCGGGCGAGCCGATGACGGCGCCTGCGGCTGAGATGGCGTGGCATTCTGATGAATCTGATGAACTGGCTGCACCACTGGTCTTCTTGCCATGCCAGGCGGAGGAGGAGGTCCCATGAACGCGGGGTGTGGAGGCGATTGGCGCTGGATGTTTGGAGGTTGGATGTTTGAAGGTTGGTTTCCCAAAGCTGGGCTCTGGGTAACGGGTAAAAAGGTTGATGCTGGGGATACGCCATCAGACACGTCTCTGAGTACAAGGTGTATTGTATGTAGGTCGGGTTGGCGAAACTATAGGGCCATGATTCAGTCAGTGTTTTCTTTCTTGCCTGCATGAATAAGCCCAATCAAAAAGGAAAAGTAAACTCACCACATCGCCTCTGATTACATCCAGCAGAGTATCGGTCTCATGTAGAAGCGCTCGGCCGCGATAGATGAGACGCTGGTTTTCGTCCGATGGCCGCAAGGGGAGGCTTTGTCGGATCATCTCTTTGAGCTGCTTGATGGTCGTGGCAGACGAGAGTCCAGGGAACATCAGGGGCCGATTCACGCCAACCGATGGCGACAGCACCTGGAGGTTTACTGCAGGCGGATCGGGCAATGCAAGAGAGCCCGGGCTCTGGGCCGTTTGCTGCTCCGAAGCCATGATGGGGAGACAGCTTGCATGCTACCAGGCTTTGGAGGGCGGGTTTTTCGAAGAAGGGACAAATGGCAAGTCGTCGTCGCGTTGTAAGGCGAAGAAGAGGAGGAGGAAGAGATGAAAGCGCCAGCTATCGGGAAGCGTGCGGTTTCTCTTTGTGTTTGTCAGACAAGCTGAAGGCAGGGATGGCAGCGGTTTGGTTTTGGATCCCGAGCCAAGCGCACACGGCGCTGTCACTCTAGTAGAGAAGGACGCGGCAAAGACGCTGAAAAGGCCAAACGGCAGGGGGGCGGGAAAAGGAGCGGAAGCTGGGCTTCAGTTCGGTTTGCAGGGCGGTGATGCGAAAAGGCAAACCAGACGCCTTCTAGAAGTCGGACAGATTGCAGTCGAGTCGGCGGTCGGCGCAGGTACTTGGGCGGTACGTACCGCAGGCCAAGTTGCGCAACAGCTGGAAATAGGCCCCATGCGGCCTAGCGCCATGCGTGCTGAGAGGTGTCGCGTTTATAAGCGAATGGCGCTGCGCTGGCGGTCTTCCTGGCCGCAGGGTAGAGTGTACTTGGTGCGGGAAGCAGATTTATACGACTTCTTTGTCGTTAGAGCCACACATAATCGAGTACCGGAGACAGGCGAGCCAGGTACCGCCATAACAAATGGATATCGCCAAGAGCTCGTAGCTTGACCCAGAAGGGCGAAGCCCCCCCCTGCAGGAAGAGAAAAAGAAGCAAAACGCCAGAGAGAGAAAAAACACCGTTATGCAGGGGGTTTAATTGACAGCTCTCTAGACGCAGGTGGAGACCTGTGACGAAAAGCCGTTGGTTGGAAGTTGGTGAGCAAAGGGATTGGATGAAGCTTGGACCGAGCTGGACGCTGTGCATAAAGTCATCCGGTACCTGCTTGGCTGCTACGCTACGACGTATCTGCTATAAGGAACGGAAACACTGAGGCTGTAACATGATGTCGATGAATTGCAAGAGTGATAGGACTCGTGTGCAGCTGCTGGTATCTGGCTTGTACCTCACGATGCAACCTCGGTGGTTACAAAGCAAAGGACATCTGGCATCTTGACCCATGCTGCCGACTATCGGAACAATGCAGCACATCATCCAGCAAACGACGTGCATTCCCATCTAGGCAGGTTTAGAGAGTCTTTCAGGCAGGTAATGCGCCGTCAGTGCTATTCAATCATTATTACATATCTGTACATAAAAATAAATTACATGGCGGTAGTAGAAGCTTTCGAACTGTATTGGTCGAACGATCTCAGCGGCATCAAAATGGCCTCGATAGCTCGTGCACCCCAAGCTCCAAGCTCGGCCTCGGCAGATGTTTGCGCCGCCCGCACCAACCACCAGACGGCCCTGCTTCCCCATACGTCATCTCCCAAACAACCAAAATCTCGACCTCAAGCGCAATCTTCATCGCCTGCGCTCAATCAATGCCTGTCGAAATCGCCTAATTGAGCTCCCTTGCCAAGTGCAAACGCTCTGTTCTGAGGCGCATGCCAGTATGGCGACGCTGGGAATCGGTTCCAGCCGTCTGGTGTACGGTGGAGGCAGTGGGGGAGCAAGTTTGCATCATCCGCTCTCATCATCCTTGCGCGCAAGATGCGCCGTTCGAGCTGCTGCTGGGCGTCGAACAGGCCAATTGGCTGCTAATTCAGGACCTACTCGGCGTGTTCCATCCTCACGATGCAACTTCTCTACTCAAAACTCTGGAAAGCGACCCAAGTTCTCCCAGAGGCTTGGCGAGGCGTTGCGCAACAGCAAAATCACATGGTATCAGATCCCCGTGGGTCTGGGTATAGGCTTCTTGGGGCTGGTTCAGTTCTATAAAGTCTCGTCCAGGGAAAGGGAAAGGCAGCAAGAGCAGGATGGCACCACGTCACCGAAGCCCCGGCCCAGAGTGCGCCCCGACGGACCATGGTAAAAAAAAGAGCCCTTTTCATCCATCTGCGTCTCACTCTTGCTCAGAGTGTAGGATCAATATGCGCGCAGAATGCTGACAGCTTCACCACAGGCAGGTCCAAGTCATGTCCACTCTTCCTCTCAAGGCCATCTCTCGAATATGGGGGAAATTCAATGAACTGACAATCCCGTACTATCTGCGTGTCCCTGGGTTTAAGCTGTACTCATTCATCTTTGGTGTCAAGTGAGTTATTCTCAGCCTGAGATATCAACTTAAGAGGAGTAATACAAAGCCCCCTTTTACTGACTTTTTTACTTCCTGTAGCCTTGACGAGGTGTCCGAGCCCGACCTTCATGTGTATCCTAACCTTGCGGCCTTCTTCTATCGAACTCTCAAACCAGGCGCTCGTCCACTGGATCCAGACCCTCATGCTCTTCTCTCCCCATCCGACGGCAAGGTTCTCCAATTCGGCCATATCGAAAGCGGTGACATTGAACAGGTAAAAGGCATGACCTACAGCATTGATGCGCTGCTCGGAAAGCATAGCCCGACATCCAGCATCTACAGTGGACTGTCGGACCAAGCCCGAGAGCGCCCCCGTCGAGGCCGCAGCGTACCTGTTGGCGACGAAGAGATTATCAAGCAGGAGGAGGAATTTGCCCAGGTCAACGGCATCTCATACACCCTGCCTGACCTCATGTCCGGATCCAAAGATGCCAAGCCTCCACACCCCGTAACCGACGAGTCGCTTGCAGCTTCATCTCCCCGCGCCGTCTCAGAGGTCCGCGCCGAGCTTGCTCTGGGCGAAAAGCCCTGGTACGATCTGCTCTCGCCCGACAAGACCACGTCCCTGTACTACGCCGTCATCTACCTCGCTCCCGGAGACTACCACCGCTTCCACTCGCCCACGAACTGGGTCGTGGAGAGCAGGCGCCACTTCGCAGGCGAGCTCTACAGCGTCTCGCCCTACCTCCAGCGCACCCTGCCCGGCCTCTTCACTCTCAACGAGCGAGTCGTCCTCCTGGGCCGCTGGCGCTGGGGCTTCTTCAGCTACGTCCCCGTCGGCGCCACAAACGTCGGCTCCATCAAGATCAACTTTGACCGCGAGCTCCGCACCAACAGCCTCACCACGGACACCGCCGCCGACCTGGCAGCCGAGGAAGCTTCCAAGCGCGGCGAGCCGTATCTCGGCTTCGCCGAAGCCACGTATGAAAACGCAAGCCCAGTGCTGCACGGACATGCTCTGAGGCGCGGTGATGAGATGGGTGGCTTCCAACTCGGCAGCACGATTGTACTGGTGTTTGAGGCGCCGGCCACGTCCAAGACTGCGGATGGCCAAGAGAAGAAAGGATGGGAGTGGGCGGTAGAAAAGGGGCAGAAACTGAAGATGGGACAGGTACTGGGGCGTGTGCTTGAAGACTAGGGGGGGCGGGGGTTAGAGATAGCACACACAAAAGAAAAAGAAGAAGCATCATACCCACGCAAAGATGGGCAACGCGAGTAAAAAGAAGGACATATTGTAAAAGAGATGTAACATGGATTGTCATTTGTCACATAAGAAGTAGGATAGCTCAACGCTGCTCCAAGAAACTTGTTCATACCTTTTGCAAATAAAATTAAAAAACAAAGAACAAAATCTTTTTCCATTTTCAATATCACGCTTTGCTCCATTCCATTCACTCATTCAAAAACCATGCCCTCACACCTCTTCAACACCGCAACAACAAGCCACCTCTTGCGCACCGTGATGTCGTCCTCCCTCTCCACATCCCACGCCCTCTCAACGCCATCGCAATCCCTCTCCCAGATGCGCTCAATCTCCACGCCGCCCTCCTCGCGCAGCGCCTCGGCGTCGTAGAAGCCGGCCATCTTGGCGCGGCCCGTGTGGAAGCCGGCCACGACCCAGGCCCGCGCCGTCGCCGTCTTCTTGAGGAAGTGGTTGACGGAGCGGCGCAGGTTGGCGTGCTGCCAGGGCATCCAGAGACAGTCTGCTACGAAGAGGCGGTCGGCGCTGTGGGCGTGAGAGGCGGGGAATGAAGAAGGAGAAGAGCTGTCAAAGACGCCCCATTCGTGGCCCTCGACGGTAATGTCCGTCGTCACGGGGAGACTGCTGCTGGAGTCGCTCCCTAGGGGAGCAAACTCGGGCTTGATATTGCGAGCAACGTTGTCGCGCAGCGTCTTCATGACCGCCGGGGCGGGATAGTCCGTGACAGCAACGCTCTTTGCGCCGAGCAAGCCGGCCATGATGCTCGGCAGGGCCGTCCCCGCGCCCAGCTCCACGGTGCTCAAGCCTCGCGTGTCAAAGCTCAGTCCCTCGCCCAGTCCCTCTGTCGTTCCAGCTTCGCTCTCAGCCTCCAGGGAATCCCGCTCGATAAGCTCCGCCAGCAGCAGCGACGCGTTCCACAGGTAGTGGCTGAACAGGCGGCGGTCCGTCTCGCCCTCGGGCTCGGCGAGCTCAATCAGCAGCGGCCTGGGCAGCTTGGGCGAGGCGTAGATGAGCGAGTGCTCTGCGTCGCCGTGCTGGTTGGTGACGTCGTCGGGGAAGATGACGCCGAGCGACGTGGAGAGGTAGTCTTCGGGGCCGGCGGGCTCGTCGCCCTTGAGGGTGATGCGGGATGTGAGCGTGGCCATTTTATATGTGTATGGTTTTGATATTGGTGGATTTAGTGAGACGTGATGAACCACGTTTCGTCTTTTTCCTCTGAGGATATTCAATATCCCCCCTTACTTTCCAGCACAAGAAATAAAAATATTCGACTCAAAAGTTGTATGCTTGTTCCCTGTTTAGCTCAAAACGAGATGAAAGTGAAGAAAATGTAGAAAGTAATCTCAGTGCCTACCAAAAGTCAGCCTCACAAATCTCCACGCACAACACCCCTCCAGCTCTCCAAATGAACAAATGAAAAAAAAAACTTACATTCATATAAAAAGCCTTCCTTTTCAATCTCAAGATCCAGCCTAGGCAGGCTTCGCAAGTTGATGCTATCTTGGCGGGCAAAGAAAAAAAGACGTGAGGTGGGGGGTTTAGTACCAAACGAGAAATTTGCCAGTCGCATCCACCCACTTATTTCCAACGCACTCACTGCTATTGGAATCTCTGTGCATCTCGAGACTTTTTCATCTTCAACTCAATCACAATGGGGAATCAATTTTCGTAGCCGAATGTTCCATAAATGCTTTGATTTGATATTTATATTTTTTTTGACAAGATTTCATCATTGATAATATTACACAAAACAATCAAGCCATAAATCCTCATGAAATGCTCAAGTGGCCTCGTACAATTCCTTGCTCCCGATAAGCAGAACAAAAGAAAATCCCGTTCCCCTCCGCCAAAACAAATGAAAAATATTAATATACATATGAAACCACACTCAGAGGCGGTCAACAATGATTGGTTAAAAAAACAGCAAATTTCATGCCAAAGTGTCCCTGAGGAGTAGGTAGGGTAGATGATACCTTTGATCCCCGTAACATGGTTCCTCCATGTAGTGCCCATTCAAATTCCATCTGCGCCTTCATTGTCCAACATTTATAGTGGTAGTGGTAGTATATCAAAACAGGGTATCAAATCCAGATTATCCGCTTCTTCCCAGCGTTATAAAAAAAATCCCATTCAAGAATAGCCCAATGCCCTGGGTCCAGAACGCCGTCTGCCATGCTTTGTTCAAAAGTCATGCTGTTGTTATTCCGATATCGAAAGATGTAAGAATGTAGAGTAAGGGGGAGAGAGGGAGAGAGAGACTCTTTTTTTTTTCCGATTCTACAAGTCGGAAGCACCGGTGTCCAGCATCCGCTGCGTCTCCTGCATCTCCTTCAACTGCTCCTCAGTGGGATCGTCAGAGATCCAAGGGCCCTTCTCCTCATCAGTGGCATTGTGGAAACCCTCAGCACGCTTCAAGGTCTGGACGTCAAGGTCCGTCACATAAGACTTGCCGTCAGAGAGCTTGATGCGGACCTCGTGATCAGTGGAGAGCATCAAATCATCCTTGGCAAGGCGTCGAGGGCCGTCAAAGACTGCCATGACACGCTTCTTCATCGTCATCTGGCCCTTGTTGAATCCCCAAGAGGAAGGGTAGTCGCGGCGCTTGTTGCGGCCGCGCTTGGCAGTGAGGGGAACACCGCCACGGGAGTGGGTAATGCCGCGAGACTTTGAAATGCGGTTGAGGGAAGCATTCTTCCTCGAGGGCGAAAAGGTGGTCATGTCATCCTCGTCATCCTCCATCATGTCATCCTCGTCGTCATCCTCTTGAATCTGAGAGGTCTGGGTGGTGATGGGCAGCTTGTTCTTCTCCAGGGTCTGGTGGACGTTCTTGTCGTCGGCAACCTCGGCCAGGCGCTTGGCGTTGATGGCCTCGGCGGGGTCTTCCTGCTGAACCATGCGCAGCACGCAGTCGTCCAAGTGCTCGTAAAAGTCCTGGGCGTTGTTGAAGCACTGCGAGCAAGTGCTGCACTTGCCAGTGGCGTCGGCAGCGTAGCCGGCGAGGGTCATTGGCGCGCCGCCAGTCCTCTTGCGGCTGTTGGGGGGGGTCTGCTCGACATTGTGGACAGAGGTGAGGTGTCGCTTGAAGACGTCGGCGCGGTTGAACGACTTCTCGGACGCAGACCCCGATCCGGGGCAGAAGCCACAGACCATGTTGCCCTTGTAGTGCGTCAGGGTATGACGGTTCTTGTCATACTTGCGAGCAAACCCCTTAATGTGATACTCGCATGTCGTGATGGGGCACTTCTCAGGGCGCTCAGTCTGATGGGTGAGCATGTGGGCCTTGAGATCCTTGAAGGTCTTGCCGCACTCGGGATAGGAGCATCGCTGCTTCTCCTTGACCTCGTCGCCGCTGTGGTAGTCGGCGGAGACGGGAGAGACGTTGAAGCTGTTGCCGCCCGTCTTGCTCATGCTCAGGCGGCGAGCGCCAACACCAGCACCGTTGCTCATGGCGTTGGTCGCATACGGGCTGGTAGCGAAGCCGGGCTGGAAGGGACCGCTCTGCAGATATGGCGATGAGCTGCTGGTGCGGATCAGGTGTGGCTGGGGAGAGGCAGCAGAGATGGCAGAGGGCGAAGAGGGATAGTGGACGGCGGGCTGGTAGTGTGTCTCAAACGGAGATATCGCCATTGGCGGTCTGGAGATCTCCGGGTGAATCAGAGAGGGATCTGTAAGCGCAAACCGGTGGTCAGTAAGCATCACGACAGGAAAGAAGAAAAAAATGAGTTGCATGCGGTAAAGGGGACCCAATGGCGGCAGCGGACGGGGGGGAGCTGGGGGTTGATGAACCCATCGGCCAGTCAAGGGAGGGACCGAGCGACACCGAGCAGTGAGGCTTTCTGGCGCGAGCTGAGGGAGCTCTTAGCGGGCCAAGTCAGCCCAGCCGCGGAGCCAACCAGGCGTCGCAGAGGCAACGCCGCCAGCCAGGAAGAGGTAGCAGTGACGAATGCGCAATAGCGCGTGGGGATGCAGAAGGGAAGGGACGCAAGACATGAGCAGCAGCGATGCCGCGTCTGGTCCGGTTAGAAATGGCAGCGGCAGCGGCAGCGGCAGAGCAGCAGCGGTGATGCCGAAGCGTGTGGTGGTTACGCGCTGTGCTGGACAGAGGCCGCCGGCAGTGGTGCGCCACGTCTGCAGCTGCACAGCGGGCTCTGGGCACCGCCTGGCTGGCTATGCAGTGCGTGTGCAGTGCTGAGGCAGGGATGCGGCACCACCGGGTCCGGGGCTCTTCAGCAGCCACGGAGGGTCGGAGGGGCAATCCAGCGGGGAGGGGACAGCAACAGACAATTGGTCGCCCAAAGAGGAAATCTTGCCGCGACAGGCTGCCGCCATGAGGGTGCGTGGAGGGGATTCTCGTGATGGATGAATGAAGCAGAGAAAGGAAGCAGACTTACCAACATAGGACTTGGCGGGCGCCAGGCTGGCGAAATCATAGGGCGTCACATCCTCCATTCCGTGCGCGTAGGCAGCAAAGTCGAGATATTCGCCGGCGATGCTCGGCTGGATGTTGAGGCCACCATAGTGAGCCAGATCCATGCCCGTCTGGCCGTGGTTTGAGAGAGGAGATCCAACCGCAGAGGACGATGCAGAGCCGGTGGACATGTTGGAGAGCAGGTCGTCGCCGTACACGCCTGGTGAGGTAGCGTTGTTCATCATGTAGGTGGAAGCTGGGTCGGTGGTGTATTCGAAGCTGATGGTGCTGGGGCTGGTGCTGTAGTGCTCCTGGCTGGGTGCGCGCTGCACATACGAGGCAAAGGCATCGGCGGCGATGCCCATGTCCATGGGCGCAGAGGAGAAGACGGGGTTGTGAGTTGCGTCGGCGAAGTGGGAGTATTCCTCCTGCTGCTGCTGCGAGAACAGGTTGAAGTTGTGCCCTGCTAGAGACGCCATTGTGAGAGAGGCTGTGATGAGATTTCGTGGCAAACGCCTGCGCTTGGAAAGCGAAAGATATTCTCAGTCGCAATTGCTTTCGCGCGCGCAAGGCCGTCTTCACCTAATCAAGCGCGCGGCGCAAAGGTGTTAGATCTTGTTTGCTCTTCTGGCTTCTCGGGCGAGAGATCTGTTGCGTGCAGCGGATCTCTTACCTGGAAACCTCGGCCGTCGCAAAAAGGCTGCAGTTGTTCTGCTCGATGGGCCAAAGCAGAAGAGAAGCTGCGTTTATAGTTGTTCTTGTTCAACCGTCTGGCGCAAAGAAAGAAGGGAGTTGTAGCTTTGGGCGCAGAGCGAAGATGCGATGCGATGCAATGCAATGGCAGATGGTGGCGGCAGCGTTGGTGGTAAAACGAGGGTCCGTTGTGGCTTGAGTTGCTGTAGATGCAGAGTGATGCAGATGGGGTTCGTGGGAGGCAGACAATTGGGTCTTGCGAGGGCAGAGAGGGGATATATAATGATGGAGATCAAGCTCTAATTGTATGCTTGCTCGAGATAGTCTGGCACCAGAAGCTCGGTTGGAGATGTTGGGGGCTACCGACAAAGATATAGCCACGGCGTATATCGTGGATTACTGGGGTCAGTTCGGATCGTCCATCAAACCAGATGCAGTCCGCGGGACCACCAGGTACGCAGCGGTTCATACTAGCGCTCGTACATCTCAAGGTACCGCGCCGCGAGAGTTACATGGCATGGCATGGTAGGGCAGAGGCGCCGCCTCGTCCAGGGTGTCTGGGACCACCATCAGGTTCGATTCACGCAATGGCAAAGCCCCTTCGAGGAGGGACCCTGTCGAGCCAACAGCAACAGCCGCCTCTTGTCGGGACGGTATTAGGTGGTGGTTCTTGGTCTTTCATCATGGGGGGTGTGTGCAAGGAAGACAGCCCAGACAGACGCTGTCTACCGGTGGAAGCAGAGTGGGGTGAAAAGAACGAGGAGCGAAGAAGCACGAAAAAGGAGCATGGATCAGACATTTGAAAGGGGGGGTGGTGATGCTTCCATGCCGGGCCTGGTGGGAGGCTTGAAAAAAAAAAAGCATGTAGAAAAGTACGAGTAGCTTTTAGACTGGCTGGCCGTGTCGATATCACTGCAGAGGGGTGAGATGGGCATCTGGGCGTGTGCACAGCAGAGAGCAAAGGCGTGGTGCTATCTCAAAGCCCGATACCCATGCTCATTCCCAGGCAAGTGCGATGGAGCCAGGCTGCCATCCCCATCCAGGCCTGGGCAAGTGCAGGAATCGCAGTACGTACCGGCTGGCTGCTGAGATTGGCGCCGCATCGGGTCTGGCGCGACCTCCTCAGGCCTTGCCGTCACCACCTGCGCTGTCGGCAGCCACCTGCCAGTGGACAAATCCGGCCACGTCGGCGTCGATTTGGGCCGCGCTCCGGGTGCCAGCCAGCCCGCGGCCCTGCCAGTTGCTGTCAGAAGCCTCAAGGCAGCGGCTAATGGGGCAGGTAGCGCTACCTGGAGCGCCCCCAAACTTGCGTGGCGCTGCTGGTAACCAGGTACAGGACTGCTTGCCCCGGTCCCTATCTGGACCTTCACCACACACTTTTTTTTTTTCTTTCTTTTTTGCTACTGTATTGCTTTTGCTCTCTGCATATGGGATTGGCGTGTTTAATGCGAGCTGGCATACAAGTAGCATCTTTCTCAGCTTCTGTCCCAGGTACGCGGCGCTCGTCCCGGGGGGCCAGACCAGGGCTCGGGCAGGGTATAAGCAGCGCTGAGCGTGGGTGAGTTTGATGACTCCATCGCCAGTGCTAGTTGCGTTGCGGAAGCCCTCTGGTTCCGTGCGAGGCTGAACCAAGTGCCCGTACCATCACATCTTTCCAGGATAAGGATGTGCGTGCTTATAGACGTCGACTTGCAGGCTGAACTAGATGGAAACGGCTGCCGCAAGCCCTTTCAAGGGCGCGTGGGAGTGCCGGCGTGGCCAGCCCGCAAGGGGACCAGGCCCGCTAAGCGAAGCCATGAGGTTGTGTCCAAAACACACAGGCGAGAGCAGACAAGAGATGGACAAGAACGTTGTCTGCTTTGGCCCCCACAAAAGCCCCAGGAAAGCAAGTTTTGGAAGATGGAGCGGACCGTGATTTGATGCTGTGCCTGCCTCCGGTGCCTGCAGCGCCTGTCTGAAAACTGCTCTGGCGTGCTTGTCGTTGTGGGCTGAGGCTTTCTCGCGGCATGCGCAGAGGCAATCATTGGGTGCATGTGGCTTACAAGCCATCCGGCGTGGTGGAGGAGAGGGGGGCAGACCAGCTAACAACGTGCACGACGACGAGGTACAGTAATGCCACACACAGAATAGAAACTAGGTGAGGCATACGACGGGATAGAGAAGATGGGAATTGCACATCATGTGCCCATGCCATGCCCAGCCCAGCCCGTGTCTTTGTTCAAGATGTTCCCGTGACGCAGATGAAATAAAGGAACAGGAGGAGCCGCTCAATTAAGGATATTATCGCAGCGGTCATTACCGTCCCTTGACGCACATCTTGCACCAGATCGAGGGGTTCGCTCACGGCCACGGAGAATTACGGCGGGCTTCGTAGCCCAGGCCAATCCCGTTGCGACAGGTCGATAACGAGGCACGGCACTCCGTAACGGAGCCCAGAGGATGCGGAAATCTGGCTTGGCCAACAGCGGATCGGCTCCGTCCCATGAGCGAGATGGGCGCAAGGCAGATACAGTGCCTACCAGGTGGAGTTTGGTCAGATCAGAATCTAACTGCAGCCCCCCCTAAGCAGCCTGGAAGCTTTCCCATCCTCCATCACAGGCCATGCTGTACTTGGTATGTAAACTGCTACCCATTGATCCTATTGTCTTGTTCTCGCTTTTGGTGTAGATGCCTGCTCCCAACTACCGCCATAGTAGCAATTTTAGAGAACTTCTGGCATAGGTATGGAGTACCACCGTCGCTATGGAGCAATGCTACCGTGACGGAGTACGAGTACCTGCTGGGCAATATACACCTTACAACGGAGTGGGCTACAGCGCTCCTCCTGCCTTCAACCTTCTCCGCTTCATGTTGGTGCCAGGACAAGGCCCGCGGGCTCGAAAAGCTCCCAGATTGGACTTGTACATGTACAGGATGCGCGCGCGCCCTCTCTCCCAAGAAACCTGTCTCTGGATCTGTACCGGACCGCGGAATGGAGCAAAAGGCAGGTTGCTGTATACAGCTTCGATAGTGGATAATTCCTTTGAGAATCAATGCTTTCTTACCAGGCCAGGGGTCTGGGGCTGGCGGAAGGCAAACCAGAAGCAGAAACCAGAAGCAGAAACCAGAAGCAGAAACCAGCTGTTGGATGTACCCTGTACCATGCAGACGCTGTCTCGCCCGCCATGCATTCATTGCATATTTTGTGAAACCTATCCAATCGCGCGGCGGCACAGACGCATTTGCGCCAAGGAAGCAAGGTCGGTGGTGCTACTTTACCCCTCGATCATGATCCATTGCTGCTATTTCGGGACGTGCGTGGGCAACACAGGAGAGAAAGATGTATATACGAGCCAATTGCAAGGACAAGACAACAACAGCAATGACATGAAAAAAAGCCAGGAGCAACAGCAGCAAGGGGGGAGGGCAGAGAAGAGGGAGAAGCGAGATATCAAGCAACAACACCACCATGTTGCTGCTATAACTACTATACTGCACTGCTCTACTGCTGCTGATAGGCACAGGCAAGATGATGCTTGTGCTACTGTATGCCAGATTCAATTTCATCTTCCTCACCCCTGCATGCACACGCCCACACACAAAGTCGGCCAATGACAGCTTCGGATCCGTGGAAAACCGGGCGGTTGAGTTAGTGCGCCGGCTCCGACGGGTGCGCGCACAGCCAGCGATCTGGTCTTTTTTTGGCCTCCCACGCGAAAGTACGAGCATAGTGCCTAGACGGAACAAGCGCCCGTATAGGTGCTAGCAGACTGCGTATCTACTGCTGCCAAGGCAAGGTAACAGGACCCAACAGGAGAAGGATACGAAGGGATGCTGAAGTGCTGTTTGGACTATCGATATACCTATATACCTTGGCCCAGTAGCAGCATTACACGCACCACAGCATTCCGAGGCACAGTAGAGGGCGTTGGTGATACTAGCACACAATTTACAACGCGGGATACTTGATATTGACCCAGACTAGGGGGTGCGGAGCGGGACCGCGAAAGAGGGTCCTCCAAGAGCTCAAAAGGCTGCCGCAGAGCTCCAACCAGGCAATGACGTGCAGGCCCAATCCGGCAATTCGTCTGCCCCGGCTCAGAGGACGGAATTTATCAGACGGCGCACCGCATGAGCCGCGACGGAATGGCAACCGGTGACCATTTGGGGATGTTGCATCAATGTCGGTCAGGTAGGGCTCACAAGGCGTTTGCCATGTGCGACGAGTGTCATAGCCCAGGGCATGTAAGCAGGAAAGGATTCACTTTTATCGAAACGGACTTGAATCGAAAAGCAAGGCGAACCAACACCTTTACCCGCGAGACATGCTCTGAGAACCCGTCGATAGGTTACTATACTAAGTTGCCGGCAAGCCCCGTCTTCCTAGAGGCCCCCCCATTATACGCCTCCCGTCCAACATTCTCTCGCTCTTTGCTCGCGCGGATACGACGGCGAGACATTAAAGAAAATCTCGGAAATAAGAGTGGTATTTTTAGCCCCAAGACATCCAACGGCCTTTATTCCGCAAGAAAAAAAAAGACGTTATACTTGTGTGTATCAGTTTCTGCTTTGTAAGGTGAGCCCCTCTCTTGTTCCGGACAGCGAAAAGAGGAAACCAATCAATTGGAACCAACAGCACGGACAACACGAAGTAGAAAAAATGGTGCAAGTAATTAAAAAAAAGAGTTCGCCGACCTTGAGAGGAGCCACCAACATGGCCGAAACACACCTGCAATACCACTTTGACTCCTCTGCTCATTTTCGACAAGGGGAGTAGAGTAAACGCAATAAGATTCATGACTCTCTCTCTGCTGCAAGCTTTCTTTCAATTCTGTTGGTTCCAAAGTGCAGACAGGGGCGCTATGCCCAGATGGTAAAAAGGTACATGAGCAATGTACCCCACGGCGAATGATACAGTACGACGAGATGCGACAAGTGAGCAAAGATCGATTCCGCCCTAGCCAATACAAACTTTCCGCACTAGCATCGACGGTAGATGGGCTTTGGGTAAATGAAAGGGACAGGGATATGGGGGCCGGATTGGATTGGACGAGGAACGCTAGAAGGGCAACTGACTAAGACCGTGGCTTGGGTACTTGATGTTTGGCGCTGGTTTGTATGCGCGGCGCGTGTACTTTTGACCTAACAGACTAAATGCTGTTTTGCGGACTTATACACGACGCGAAATATAGAGGCACGAGATATACGAGTGACTCGAAGCAATCGTCTCCAGCAGGTAATAAGAATCAACTCCTTCGCGGTCATCCTTTGGCCACCCTGCAAGCTGAGGCATAATCACAACAACAAGCAGCTGGTCTCTCTTCCATTGCCACCACCCCCTCCCTTTTTTTCGAAGCTATCGAATGGATCTCGAATCCGTTTCTAGCACATCTACCGGTAGGCAGACAAGCACCCCAGCCCAGGGCATATATCAGAAAGAGAGAGAGAGAGAGAGAAAGGGGAGGGGCATCGGGGCGATGAGATCAGGCCAGACCCCTTGACAGAGCGCACGAGGTGGAAAGCAGGAACAACGAGCAAGATAATCGAGCCGGGCTTACATGGGGGTGTGTCTATGCGGAGTTGCGAGAAGCTTGTGTGCTCAGTTGTACATGCAGTCCTGGGGATTGAATGAGGCAAAAGCAAGAGAGGAAGAGAGAGAGAATTGACCAAGGGTAGCACCATGAGCTCCATGATGCTAGGTTGGTTCTTCTAGTCTCAATACAAATCAATCCCCACAGGCAGAAACAGGAAGCAGTCGAGCGAGGCTCTGCGCCCCATAAAATACGCATCACGCTTTGGTTGTATTCAACCCCATGCTGCGTTGCGTTGCGTTGCGCTGCTCACACTCCCCCCGATTTTCACAAGGGTCATCGAGTCTTAAGAGATTTTTGCATACTGTTTCCCCTTCTTTTTCTGGGTTCGGCCTCGAAAACCTTGTTGCTGATGTCTTCCAAATCCCTGTGCGCGCGCGGTACGGTGCGGTGGGATTTGGAGATTTGAATGATGAGAAACACTCCCCACTGTTTTCAAAGATTAGCGCACAAGGGTTGAAAAACGTGACGCTGTGCAAGGATACGGCGCGAATTCGAGCCCGTTTAGGAAAGGCGCGAATCGACAAAGATAGTTGCTGTCATCCATCCCATCCCCAAACTCTTTTTTTTTTTTTCCCGCCTGGTGGGGAGGGGTTAGGAGGGAGAGGGGGGGGGGGCCTAAAGCGGCATAGACGAGATTTCTGGTTTTTTGGAAAAGCTTGGCCCTTTGCGTGCTAGGGGGGACCCTTGCCTAGAATCTGTTTTGATTGAGAGATGGATGTTGAAATGACTCTATTTTCTTGCCTTCTAGTGCTGCAGTGTCTCGGAGTGCCTCCCCTTGTGTAAGACATGCCATGCCATGCCATGCTGCGACTCTGTAATGAATGGCCCATGCTCTTTCTGTCTTTTTTTTTTTTTTTCTTATACCCCCTTCTCTTACCCATGGCAGATGATGCTCTTAGCTATACCCAAACAGTTCAATGACTTGTAAAGGCCGGACCGCGCAAAAGTGACATGGGCGTGCCATATAGTCGCACTTTCTAAGCGTTATAGGAATCAGCCTCGTGTCTTTTTTTGCCATGTCTCGCCCAGACCCTTTCAGCTGGGCATTGTACGCAGTTTCATGCCAATATATTGGGGTTACGCGCGCGAAATGGAGTTGAAAGCAGCATGGCGTCCGAAGCCCTTGAAGAGTTCTAGATCTTTTGCGTTCTTTTCTTTTGTTCTGTTGATGTGTTTTTTTTTTTGGCCCCCAGATTGCTTGAAGAAGACAGTAGTAGATGGTCTATATGTTGTCATCATGGTGATACGTACTAAAGATCTGCTGGCAGGATATACTGTAGTCGATACTACCCTGTGGCTTTAGTTTTCAACTCTCATCTTACACTAATGGTTCCCCCTCATTGTCTACGAGTGTACTATTTCGTCAAAGCATGTAATGCCCATTTACATTCTGTTTCTGACCAGATGACTGCTTTGTTGGCTCTCTACAGGTTCTAGGTTCTCAATTACAAAGTCCAGGCCCGGAGGGGTGGTCCCTAACAAAAATCCTATCCCGGGCTGCCCCTCCATCTCCAGCGTGTCTCAAAGCCACCGCCTTTCATGGCGCACTGCACGGTCCCTCACTCTCTCATCCTTGGTTCGTCTAGATCCCATGTGGCGTAAACCGTTTTATAGTTTTCGTTCTTTCCTTTCATCTCCCGTTTACACGTTACTTAAAATTCTCGGCTTTACCACGCGGGGAATGGGGGCTTTTTTTTTTTTCGCGTTTATGCCAGCGACAGCCGGGTGGCCCGAGACAGCGGGTGGAGGCGCAGCGCCATAATTTACATGTACCTTGTAGTTCTAAACCTGGTAAGAGAGATTGGGCGAGCCAAGGCGAAGAAGAATGCCATGGTTAATTTCATCTTCTTGGGACGAAAATCTCATCGCATTAGTTAAACTCGTTGAGAAAAAAGAAAATACTCCTTACGTGGAGATTAGATGACAGCGGAGGGTAAGGATTCGTAGGAAAGAAAAAAAAAAGATGGGGTTTGCATGCCAAGCCTTTGAGCTTCTTGTTCTTACAGTATTTTGCCCTTGGCCTTTGTGTGTTGGTGATTTGTTAGTGGTCTTTTCCAAACACGAGGTGCCTAGAGCACCCCCCAAGACGCAGGAGAGCTGCTGACGTGCATGCCGCGCACTCACGCTCACGTTGTTGTGGTTACAAAGTGCGTATTGCTTGATGAACATGCCCCGTACTAGCAGCATGTGAAAAGGGCGCGACATGCTAATAGTTAAAAACAGTTACTTTTTGACGCGGACGTTGATGACTGTTTCAATAAACATGATTGTTGGTAATGCTGGCGAGAGGAGAAAGAAGACTTTTTTTGGTTCATTTCTTCATATTCATAACCAATCACTATTATGAACAAGCATAAAGCAAGTTATTCTCAAGCCCCACTTCGGCAGCTCATGTTTCTCCTAGGGAATGCCCCTTTGGGACGAAAACGGCATATACCCCTCGCTGATTGGCCAGAAATGCCTGCCGCAGCAGTGCCTCTGCAGCAACTCTGGATGGGCGGTGCAGCGGCACACATGATGCATCACATCAAAGCCATTAGACGAGGCTATACCTATAGATGCTAGACTAGATACTAGACTGGATATTATAGTAGTCCAAGGGAACAGCAAGAGTGGTGCCACTCATGCTCGCCCACATCTTGCTCTACTGCTCCTCCTGCCTTCACACCCACTGCCCTTCTTCCCATCCACCTTGGCGACACATGGCTTCAGGTGGATCGCGCACTAGGCCAAGCTCCCTTTCGTTCGTTCAGAAGCGCCATGCGCCATAGGTCCAGCGTTTCCACTTTTCAAACAAGAGGCAGAGTTGGCCCCCAAACCGTCCGTGCAACACCGGATTGCTGGGTAAATCATCCGCGCCCCGGTTGGGAAAAGCCACGGCGCACTTTATGCACTCTGCACTCTGTAAGAAAAAGAAAAAAAAAAAAGCACACGCCAGGTCAGGTCAGGATGGCGAATGGGCTTGCGAGAATCGAACTTGGGCGAAACAGGCGACAGCGACAGCCGGCACGCAATGCAGCCCCCAGACGCTTCAGTATTGTTGCATCCCGCATCCTTGCCCCCCCCCCGGACCCCCTGTTCGCCGCGAGGCCAAGAAAAGATTCCAAGTGCCAGGAAAAAAAAACAAGAATAATCGGGAGCACAGAAACGGGCGTTGGCTCGCCCTGCCCGTTGAAGGATATTTTTGCTGATGAGACACGGCCTATCGCTTGGTGTCAGAAGTTTAAGCTGTGACGAGGTATGTACCGCGCGGTTCCTCGGAGACCAAACCAGCTGGTCGGGACCGAGAGAGCCGTCGCAATCGATTCTGCCGCAGTTTACCCGGAGATGTGTGGGGCGCTGTGGGTCGAATGAATCCTTCCAAGCTCCAAGCTGTGGATGCTGCTCTACTCGTAGTGCTGGTACTGGAAAGTATTGGGTGGGCCAGGACTGCCGTCAGGGATTTGGCGTGCCGAATCACAAGTACAGATTAGCTACTCCGGGTCTCTGTATCTGTGCGGAAAGGAGCGCATCTCATTCGTGACAAAGTCCTGGAGCCCTGAATGGCAGGCAGTTGGCCCAAGGACGAGATTGCGCTCGCAGCGCTCTGGAGAGGATTCCCGGCGCTCTTGGCTGTTCTCGAGAATATACTTGTCAAGCATCGCTTCTACACACTATTACAAGTATACAGACTTTTTCGTGATCATGCCACCCATCCACCCACCCTCCACCCAGAGCTCGACGCTGCGCCCAAGTTAGCAATCGGCGTCGTGGTCCGATCAAGCGCCACTGGCGCTGCCGTCTTTGAGGCTCCCTTCTTTCTTTTTTTAGCGGCTGTGTGTGTATCTAGTAAGTAGGACGGAGGCTGGCGGTGAGGAATGCAATTCCCATTGGCATTGCTCAGCCCTACGAACCTGCGCAAGCCCAGTTCCAGGCAGCACATGGCAGTCCCAGCAAGATGGGACCTAAGGGACTGGAATGAATCCCTTTTTTTTTCTGTTCTCTCGGTAGTGACTGGTATGCGGTGAAACGGTGAAACTGCAAAGTTTGGGAACAAATGTCATTTGATGGATTATACTCTCGTAGTCCCCGGGCCTTGCTCCATGCCCCCATAACGGCCGGGACCGCCAAAAGAGGAAAAACATCAAAGTCTATCTGTCATGGATATCCTCAGAAACTGATCACTGATCACATTGTATCCTGGCGTCTTCTGACTACTATTTCGTTCTGTCCCGTCTGAAACATGACTTGGGCGTTTTTTTTTTTTTTCGCCCTCCGTCGCATCACGCCCCCCTCTGTCCCGATTTTGGGCTTTCGCTACTGGCGGCAGGTTGTTTCTGGCCCGTCAATTTGGTACTTGGCGCTCTGTTTAGATGGATCTTGGCGTGCAGCTCGAGGCACACTCGACAGAGCTAGGAGCACTAACACAGAAAATAGCAGCAGTAGTACGATCTATTACCGGTATACGCAAGATAAATCAATGCCAAGAAAAGACAGCGGCAAGTCATCTATTCTAGTTCTATAATGATCAAGCTACTAGATGGGGAAAAAACAAGGACTTTTCTCACCAAGTAAGCACCATCTGCCCGTTCAAGGCGGCCCAGATCTCTCCTGTCATAAACGTGCCCTGATGGCTTGCGGACTGAGTCAACAGCTGCGTTATGTAAGCAAGGCGCCAACGCTGTGACGTGATGTTCATCCGAGCGCCGGCTGGCAGCAGCTTTAGGTTGGAGATAGTCTCTTGTGTCCTGCCAAAATGCCCCCCCATGCCAGTAAGCACGGGAGCGCAAACCAAGAAACCTTGTCATCCGTGCTACAAGTACTACCTCGTTCTCGACGACATACGACGCAGCCAATCGAGGAGCGCCGTTGGTTCGAGGGAAAGGAATAAGCGCACATCATGTTCGACAAGGGTGCCACGCCCGTTGATTGACCTGACCCGGGATCATGGACTCAAGTTGTCGCCCTCCGACCCATCCTGTTGGATTTTGTTTTCTTTTTTTCTTTGCTTCTCCTCTCCTCCGCTCCAGGGGGGGGCCACATCACAGCTGCCATTATCTGATGTTGGCTATTGCTAGCTAGTCCTCGTGGGAAATGCATACAGTAGCTCAGGGGCGACGAGGGCGCGTATACACACTCACACACCATCCATACAATACGCAGGGTTCGTGGCCTTTGTCTTGCAACACGTTTTTGGGGGCCCCGCCCGTCAAACTGGTTCAAACATCACTCACATCGGGGACTGGAGACGTATGGGGAACTGCATTTAGATTAGAGTGGCTTCGGCCTGCGTCGCTTCGCCCTCAATCGGTATTGTGGCTGCGTCTAACACGGCACTTCGTCCTGAAGCCCCTTCGCCGGCGCTGCCGCCAGGAAACCCTATCCGGAAAGTGCAGCCAAACGGGCTTCTGGCTTTGCTGCAACAAGCGTTGCGCTGTAGGGCTGAGCAAAAAGCTAGACCTACAGCATGCTCTTGTGCTGTCGCCTTCTTGCAGTACTGTACGTACAGACATGTACGAGATGAGGTTAGCGGACCAAGAGGGGAGTCGGCTTAGGCGGCGGGCGTGCAGCTATCGGCTCCAACGACGTGGCCGCGATACTCGCACCCCCTCACCACCCTTCTCCCTACTTTGGCTGAATCCCTGACGTTCATCCTCAGTCCCGTCCAAGGCCCATCTTGCCGGCACGCCAATCTCGTCAGGGTCCCGGCCACACGGCGTGCCATCCGCAATCTCTGTCCACGAGGCCACGCCCTGGGCTGTCATCTCTATCTCACCCTGGCATCTGGCCGTGGTTGAGTCCCCCTGCCTGTGAGCGCCTATTGGAGCTTCATGTGCCGTCCCTCTTCATTCTTCGCGGCTCAGGGATACGTATCGCCTTCTGATCGAATGCGGTAATCAGTGCGATCGCATCCTCCCGACGTCTTTCGTCTCTGCGGAGCCCCACCAAATGCTCGACCCTGTACAAAGAATGCTGCTCCGTACATGCTTGCTGTATTTCGTACTGTACAAGCATGCACTGCCAAATTGCCAACCACCATGCATGTTTTCTCTGTCCCATGCCTGTTTGAGGCTGAAAAAGGAAGGGAAGAAGAAATATTGCTGTGCCTTCTACAGGCATACACGTGCTCGGCATAAGCTTCTCCTCCTGAACAATATTCGCATCACAGGATGCCCGAATACGCACTCAAGGTTGACGCTTGTACCGAGTATATTGGGCAGCATGTCACCCTACTGCTACTACCTACTCTGTAATATCATGCCCGCCTCCGAAGCCCTCGCTCAGCAATACAATACTGGTGAAGGAGTACTGTGTATAGTTGTAACTGCCACTGACATGGGTGACCCTCGGAACATTGGCTCAAGCGTCAGTGCTTGTGCAGTTGCGGCTTGTACAAGGCTGCCATACGTACATATGTCAGAGTCGCATTTGCAGTTCAGCTAGTTTCACAACAAACCAGCCATACAGCGAACAGATTCAAGGCAACCAAAAAAAAGAGAGAGAATAATCCAACGTGGCTACACAACTCAATGGCATCTTACGTTGTGCCACTGCACCCTTATACGAATTGATACGATATGCGAGTTGCGTTGCAGTGATGGGCACACATATCCCGAGACTGTCCAAGAGTCAAAAACATCGTCACGGGCCGTCCCAATAGGGTATTGACAGCCTGCAGCGTAAGAAGGCGCTCCCAATTGAGTATTTGCGCAAGCCGGAATGGCCGATCAACAGCCTTTGAGCGCCCACTTCCCGAAGTGATTGGTCTGCAGCATTTCCCATTTCGTCTCTCGGCTGAATGCTACTACAGAGGTATCAGGCATGCCCTCCACTGTACTTGTATCGTTGGAAAGTATCATCTAGGTAGGACCTCTGCCTCTTTGGGGACAAACAATGCTCGCATACAAGTAGTTTTGTTTTATATGCCTGTCGGCCACTGCTCGTATATCGTATATACTTGCGATCCTTGCCAGCATTTCTGCACACGACCAGGATGTCATTCGTTGATTCTACCTGGGCATATAGACTACGGAGCCCGGCTATTGAGAGCAATAGCCATCCCGATGTACACAACCAATACGGAAGCCTCCGTAATGGCATCTTCTATTCCATACTGTATCCTGGCCTGGCGACCGGCATGCTCCGTATTTGTCCACCATCAGAGCGTCTCCACCCTTGCCTATGACAACAACGCTGCCGCAGGCACTTCCAGAATGGGAACCGGCAATGCCCATCATTACCACATCAATGGCAGTGTTTTCAAGGTTCTTATCGGACCCCTTTTCGAAGAAAATTCTCCGCCAATTGCGAGATATACGGCCTATGGAATGCCTCTCAATGAGGTCACCGTCTGCCGCAATGCACATGCTGTGTACCTACGCTGAGGTCGTGTAAGTTGAACGTTTTTGTTTCAGGGGCAGCTTCGCCCAGGAAACGGCGACGAAACACGGGCCTTTTTCCCACTAGAGGCGAGACAGCCACTCAAGTGCCGTTAATCAAATACAGAGCCATCCATCACTGTGCCCCGAAATGAGTTTGTGCTTCTAGCGACTTTCGTCAGATGGCAGCCCTGCTCCTCGTACACTAATCCCTCCGCGGCAAGGGGCGAGAGGCTTTCTGATTCTTCATTCTGAGACATTCTCCCTAGCAGGCAACTGGAGCCGGCGCTGCCGTGTGATTGGCCGAGCTACGAGCAACGGAAGCTTCACGGTACGTACTGGGCAGCGGCCTGATTGGCCCGTGCTCCTGATCTCGCACTTTGGCCAATGAGAGCTCGCCGTTGAACCCGGTCACATGTTTATTCGCTTCGCTTTGCCATTCCAAGTTAGCCGAAAGGGCTTCTGTTTTGGACCTCTCTCTTTTGCGCGAAAGCGAGGAAAAAAGAGGCTAGCCGCCTTGACGGTCCTCCGAGACTCAGTCTGCCATCCCCGTCTTCGATCTCGGAGCCATTCTCCACGCGGATGAGGACCGTCATTTTCTGAGTAGAGAGCCTGGCCAGAGGCCTTCGCCGTGTTAGTCACACGTTATCCAATGCCACAGTGCAGTGTATGCCTATAGCACTCCGGCAACGCTAGCAGCCGAGGGGATGCATGCATCGCTGCCTTCTAGAGATCTTGGGGTATGACGGCACTGTAGGTAGGCGACCGTCGCCTGTGTCGCCTCAGTCTTGCTGCGTCGCCAATTGGAGCATCCAGGATACAGCTAACCACAGTCTTGTACCGACACGAGGCGCGCGCGAGCGTCACTGGGCGATGAAGAGTCGCCTGCCTTGAGACGGGGCGCGAGGCGTCTTGTCTCTTGCAGGTCGTAAAAATAGAATTCCACGCCTGGGACGAATATCAGTTGCGACGTGCAGAGTTCTGGCCCTCCATGGGGAACCGACGCTGCAGAGAGGCATCCTCCGATGGCTCGCAGACAAAAGAGGCGAGACGAGACGAGACGGCAGTGCAGCGCCACACCCACTCGTCGGACCTCTCTCTTCTCTTTGCAGCAGTGGGACCTGTTGCTGTACCTACTACGAGTCTACGGATACGTCCAGCGCACATGGGAAAATCCTACTGCAGCTTCTTCTCCCCATCGTATCGGCCAACCGTCGTCGTTCCGCACTCTTCCGCGCTTCTTGTTGATCCTACACAACGTGCCCGTCGGATCTCAAGTCGAAGCTGCCCTCCCATCTCAGTCCGAAGGGGTGGGAAACGTGGCATGCTTAAGCGGCATCTTGCCCAAATCGAGGCTGTAGAAATACAAGCATTCAAGTCCGTGAGCCACTGCTAGTTACTCACATGTCTCACAAGCTGTGTGGGTCAACATGTGGTCATTCACTCGATACTCTCTATACGGGGTACGTATTCTTTCCAAGTGACAGAGGCTCAACTGAAGAGACGTGATATACTGCATGGGTCGAGGACTGCGCAAGCGCTGCTGCAAGACCTCAGCTAGCATTGGTATTGTCTTGACAGCCATTCCACGACACTGCCTACCAACCATGCAGTAGCTCGGCTAGCAAACAAGTCAACAATGTTATCCCAGGCCCACGCCGAGGCAAAGACGAGTCTTAGCAGACTACTTTCCGGCCAGCTACCCTAAAGTTGAAGCGCCAAAGTTGATTCTTTCTCTTGTTGGTCTCCCAGTTGGGCTGGGCTTTGGCCCCCAATCATCAGTTGCTGGTACTATTCGCTATTGGCGCCTTCTCTCCGGCTTCTTACCTTGCCCCTTCCGGCGGGGTGCGAAAACCTCCAAGGTTCTAGAGCTGTATAGGGATGTGATGATTATTTGCTGCAAGCCTCCATCATGCATGATACGAGGCTCATCACATCGATAATTTACGGAAACAATAATCTTATCCCGACTATGAAGCACGAAATCAATAGCGCCGTTGGAATGAATATCAAGAACCTCAATAGCTCGACGTCGTGATAGAAGCCATCATGGCTTGCCGAATGCGGTATCATGGCGCGATATATTGACCATTGCTGGCAACATCTACTGTACTGCCACTACTCCAAATAGGCGCCGTCAGGGATCTTTCCCGTTAAGCATGTCGCGGAACGGCGCAGGGGTGCGTGCCAGGGAAGTGGGAGGCGGCCGGGACGCTACAGTACCAGCACAAGCTACAAGTATATCCAGACGAGGGCAATGCGCAGAGGGGGGCGTGTGGACGTTCTGCAGCGCTGGGATGCGGCAACTTGGCAGCTCCCTGGCAAGAGGTGTGCAGATATGGATGGCGTTTCGAAGCTCCCTTTGCCGAAGCCCACAATTCTCTGTTCCCACACCCTGGCAGCCCCGGCAATCCGGTAGCCCAAGCACTCGGTTCGCCGAGCGCTGACTAACCGCCAGGATCAAGGACCATGATGAGATCGACAGCAAGTCACCAGCGATTCCAGGGCCAAAGGAAGAAGGAAAGAAGGAAGCCCTGCAGCATCCTTTTCGTGATCGGACACGGGTTGCTGCCCGTAGCAACATACTGTACAGCCATGGCAAAGATTCTCGTGCTGGATATGAGAGATGTCGATACAGCCAGTCAGCCACACCGCCACTACCGCTTGCACACGCCTGCAAAGTTACCGATAGATTGCATGCCCACGTTGGGATCGTGATCCTGATCGTCGACTACAGTAGTTAGTGCATACACAGGTTCATGCGCTTCACTACTGTGAGCTAGCACCAGTCACCAGTCACCGATCGACTTTGCACCGCTTTTCTGCGCCCCCTTTGCCCTCCAGCAATCACAGCTAAAAACTATCAGGAGAGCGAAATTAGTGTTTTTTTGGTGCTCGAATATGCCAGATGTTGGGCTGAAGCGCAGCGACCAGCAGCTGCATCGCATGGATGAGATGAGATTTGATTTGACTCGTTTTGGGTTGTCTGGAGAGCTCATTATGCCATGACCCTTACCCTGGCCTCTGATTGGCCAGTCCGTATTTTCGTTCCCAACCCCACGATGTTTTCGCAGGGCTGCTCGTCACAGGCATGTGAAGAGTGGAGATTTCCGGCACTGGGCTTGTGTGCTCAGAGGAGCATGTGTTAGTCCTCTGTTATGAGACACTACGGAGACGCAAGGGCGGCTACCAATTTGCTCTACCACGGCGGCGGAACCCCTCAATGGCGTTGCGCCATATTTTGCTTGACGGCCACCGGCGGCTCTGCATTGACCAGCCATTGGCCATATGCTCCAAATTGCTCTTTCAGGATACTTTCAAGCCACCGGTGGTGGCCAAATCCAGAGCTACGGGAGAGCTCCCTCAGCTAATCCAGATGCATCCTAGGTTTCAAGCCTGACGTTGAAAGCCACCGGCAGACCGCCACGCCACGCAAACCCGGTAATTTTGGAGGGGGGGTCCTGCTAGCATCCCTGCCCTCATTCCAGATAACCACGAGAAGCTGAAGAAGGAGGAAAGCAAAAGACGGGTGATGGTGAGCCAAAAATGGCAATAGGACAATGACAGACGGCGACAGCGGGCTGGGAAAGGCGCTGGCGTCGATATACCTACTTGTAGCTGTCCATGAAAACGGAATGCTTGGCGTTGATTCTGCCAGCACAACTTTTAAGTTTACGAGACAACCTCTTGGAAAGGACCAACAGAGTACGAACCGCTAACTGCATCAACAACATGGGCACATGAGTTATAGAGTGCTCCAAGACAACTTGCAGCATCATCATGACTAGCAAGCCCCGCTAACACAGGAGTGCATCTTTCCCTTGCAGCGGCAGATATAACAGTGAGGCAGATCTTGTAGCCGAGTTGCTGTCCCAAGTGCGTGGTCTAGCTCGCGCAATTAAGTGCTCACTGCAGTCGAACTCAGGAGGTGGCATGGCATGGACAGCACATTGCACAGGAACGGCTGGTGCTGTCTTTGCTTCTCGTTCCTAAGTTGAGCCCTGGTAACAAGGCTGGAACTACACACACCCACCCTTTAAGCCGTGGCACAGCAAGGCGAGTTCCAGGGTCGGCACGGCTTGTGTTGACAGCGCAGCGGAGAAGCCAAAATCAAGAGAGCTAAAGAGGCTTGTACTATGCATACATTCCCAATCTCGCCCTGTCGAACTAGCAAACAAGCGTTCAAAGCGCCGTAAGCTCTCGTTCGAGACTGGTCCATGTAAAGCGAGGCGTCCCAATCTGCCGGTAGGTCGTGATCAGAGAGAAACGAATGTCTCGAGGCGGCGCCTATCCGTCCCAGCCGGCTGGAAACGCTTAGCTTCGTAGGGCTTGTGGCGGAGAGCCGAAATCTAGGGCTCCCACCTGACTCTAGGAAGCCTTTTTGGTTTATGCATTAGGCTTGAGGGGGTTTGCTTTAGGCTGATGCTAGCAAAGGGATTGGATTCGAGGCCTCACGGCTTGAGATGTGGTGCAAATCGAGATAGCACATGGAGATGCAGCCATGCTTACTGTTCCTCTTTGCAGCCCTCACTCGGAGGCTCACGCAGCGCAGAAACGTGCCCGACTCCGTACGGAGCATGGAACATATCTCAAGTACAGTATGAGTATGCACAAGTATGTACAAGTATAGGCCATTGTAAAAAGATTTACGTTACGTTCGCAAAGCCAACCTTTTCGAGGTTCACCCCTGGCACTCCGATACCCTTGACACTCGATTTCCGCTTGTGTGTGAACAAGTGTGCTTGTTAGGAGTGGCCCGATGCAACCCAACATCTGTGCTGGAATACCCAGCTGGCCTTTTTAAGTTACATGCTGTTGCGAGGTTATTCGCATTCTTCATGCAGTACATGCTATCTGAAAAGGAAAACGGGCGATTTGGCTCTTTGGTTATGTGATGTAAGTGGTCAAGCTTCATCAAGCACAAAGAAAGGTTATCTGACGTACGGATGACAAGTGCTACCGCGGAGAAAGTCGCATTGCTAAGCAGCCTTTGGCGAGCTCGCACTTACAGCATTAGTTAGGCTGGGCGGGATGATCGCTGGCCATTCCTTCAGATGCCTGTCTGTATTGGACGAGTGGCATTTGCCCCCGCTCGCTCCCTTTGGACAGAGGACGTCTATTCAAGTCTCGGGCGGGGGTGTTTCAGCGCAAAACATTGCAAATTCATGCGCCGCTCACCAACAGAAGCTTGGAGCGCATCTATTTTTGCAGCGTCTAGTCTTTTGGGGGCCATCTTGTCTAGCGCGGCTGGCGAGACATGCTCAGACGGCAATCGGCGTGATATCCAGCCAGGGATGTGCTTCTGACATCCGCTAGGCCCTCTGCGCTCGGGTCCGTCTCCCGACTAGCACCAACGCTTAACTACGGGGAATTGTGGCGTTCGGCTAACATAGTGGTCGGCGACCACTCTTATATTAGCGTGGAGATGTTGCCGGGGATCGTGGCCAGGGGGTGTGAAGGGGAGGGGGACGCCTCGTAGGGCAGGCGAATTGCCTGTGAGGACGGTCCCCCGGTTGCTGAGCGATTCGTGCCCAGCAAGACGGCCTCAACGCCAGCATTCCATACAGGGAGAAGGCCTCATCACCTCCAGACGCAAAATAAAGGGGCTGGCTGGCGGGAGGGCGCGTGCTGAGGCAGTTGTTTGATCCAGGCATACGTGTTGCTTGTCCCGAGTCTTTGGAGAGCCTCATGGCTTGCTTGGCGTTGACGCCTCCCCGAAGTCTTACACTCGGCGCAAAGCAGAGCTCTTACGAAAGCACCAAATCGGCAACCTGTCTGCAATTAACTTTGGCACTACCGGTTAGATTGTATACTCGTCATTGCTGGTGGATAAGAGCCGCTTCTACGGGCATGCCGCTTGTCAATGACGGGTTGACGTTGCTGTACAGCCTCTCTTTGCAGTGGATATCGTTTCTTTGGCTCAAGGTTTGAGAGTGTACTGTAAGGGTAAAACAGAGAGTGGAGATGATGGGCGTGGCGCTCTCGAAGCGACGCGGCCAAGCATTTTGGAATCAGCACGGCCACGTGTGGTTGTCGAGCCGGTCAGTGAGGTGAACCTGGACCCCGAACGAATGCGAATCTACAGCTGGTCGTGCTACAGGACCGCTCCATGCCCTGCCCATGCTGGCATCTGGTTTAGTCGTGCCTAGGCGCTCGCTTCCGCCCGCGATTTCCCAGAGAGCGATGGCCAGAGGCGCGAGCGAGGGCGCTTGACCGGAAGGGGCTTGAATTCGCGATATGACTCGGGGGGGCAGCAATCCGAATCGAGGCAATCGGGATGGGGAGAGGCGAATAGGAACCGGATAATATTCGCTTCTTTTCCTGGCGCTTCTTTGCCAATGGTTTGATGCGCGTTATGCAT